GTTAGAATATGGAAAATAACACATTTCCTACAGTTAACCATGAAAATTTTATAATAGGTTGTCAGGAATAAATTTTATCTTATTAGCAGAAAGAAAATCATTAAAAAAAATCTCATCATCATCATAGTTCGCTAGACACCTCAATATCTGCCAATGCCTTCCTCTGATAAAAAAGATCATATCATTTTATTTTCAGTACAATGAGAATTCTACAGTCTCTGACCAAATAATTAGATGCACTATAAAATTCTACGGAAAATCTTAATGATTAGGTGATACCATACAGCTTTATTGTTTTTATATGACTGAAACCGGTTTGCACTGGTTTACGTTCGTGTATCAATTGGTTAAATGAGACAATACATAATATAAATTTGAAGATTTCATAAATTAGACGATATATTATATAAATATAGAATATTTATTACATCAAGTATTATATTAGTATATTATAATAATTCGATCCAATTATTAGATGCACTGTTGTTTTTTAATAATAACATGATTTGCACGAGTTTATGGGCAATACTTTTATATTAAAACAAACATGTAATGGGTTTTAATTCAAGAGATTTTTTATATACTTCCCATTTGTATTTATTTTTAACATTACAATGTTGACCAATTGATACACGAACATAAACAAGTGCAAACCGGTTTCAGTCACATAAAAACAATAAAACTGTACAGTATCACCTGATAATTAAGATTATACATAAAATCTTATACTGCATCTAATTATTTGGTCAGAGACTGTACATCATAAAAGTGTATAGTTTAGTTTCATAGTGTTTAGTTAAGTTTCCAGCCCTTTACTAAAACATTTCAGGCAATGCATTGTTGAAATATAATTCATTGGTCAAAATGATTAATATAATTTCCAATCCTCTTTTTTAAACTTTTATGGCTTTTATTCTTCCTTTTTGTGTTCTTATTACAACATTCAAACAGCCACATATTAGTTATTCAAACAAACATAAATTTTTTATTATCTAAATAACCCAGTCAACTAATTCAGAAGCGTAACACACATCACTGGAAACTAAGACACTTTAATTTTTTCTCCGAGAAAAAATAAAGAACTAACACAATTGTTCCCTCTTAGGAAAAATATTGCCCAAAAAGAATAAGATTGTGGGGGCGGAGTTATTCGGCCAGTACCTCATGATAGAATCAAGTTAGCATGCTATACTAGTGAATGATGTTAAACTTTCATAGTGGTAGTTACGCCACAGTACTCCCCCACCAGAATTTTATCAGAGATATAATTCGATGAACAGATCTCACTAGTTGATGTACTTGTGAAAGACCGGGAGAGAGTCACCGGATTTTTTGAGTGCTGAATGTGAGAGGTGTATTAACATCACAGTCGAAGTCGCTCCTGTGTTGCCATTAGCAGTCGAGAGTATGCAGGCGTTGAGAGTGTAGGCGATGTGTGAATGTTCGAGACGAGACTGAGAAGCAACAGCGCAGGAGGTGAATGATGCATTCACAAATAACAAGTCAACCGTACAATGTGGACTATCCATCGAAGTAGGCGTAACCGTTAAGAGATTGCGAAGTGGGCGTTACTTGCGTGAGCAAATCACGTTCGAAGGTCACCAATGTGGGGG